AAACAACAAGATTGGGTAAATTAGAGTAACGCACGCGAACAATACTATTTCCTCAATTAGATCATCAGGCTTTACTCTAACATACAGTAATATTTATATGCATATATACAATTATTAAACGGATAAATAGAATTTATGAGTTATTCATGACGATTAAAAAGAATGATGTGACATTATAATTGGTAAGAAGTTCAAATTGGTAGTAAGGTGACAGGTAGAGTAGTAAAAATGAGAACAGCCGTCAGCATGATAACATGAACAAGGATTTCGACATAGGAAGTACGTTAAATCAGAAAAAGTAAACACACTAAAATAATAACCATTAGGAATTAAGTGATAAGAAGTGTGTGGACAATCTGCTTAAGTATGCAACTAATAAATAAGAGGTATGAAAGGGGTGAGAGGATATAAGTAAGATAATGTAATAAGAAGATTATCAGGTATGAGAAGTGTGATAAAGATCTAATTGAAAACAGTATTGTTCGCTTGTGTGTTGCATCAAGGCTTTAATGGTACTTTTTTGGTTCCTAGTGACTTTCTAAAGGATCACTTCAGAACGACTGTAATTTTTCAATCATAGCTAGCTGTTTCGAAACTAAGCTGGTAAATGTTAAAATGGATAGTTGATTAGAAAATGGATTCCAGTATTTATTAATAAAAACAATCAAAAATAGAAAAGAATTTCAAGGTAGTTATTCTAAAAAAGGCTAGATTAGCAATCTACATTATTATTCATGAAGTTAATAGATTGATGGATGATATAGTATTAATGCGATAACTTGTAAGTTATTTTCAAAGTGTTTTCGATATTAGGTGAATAAATTTACACTAGGTGTAACTGTACTTTAATCAAAACTTATTTTGAAAATCACCCAACAAAGATATTTGTATTAATATGGTATTGACGACTGATTCACTAACGAGACTAATGTAATAATGTTGTATTTTGCGCTTGTCTTATGGTTACTTTTAATTACAAACAATTGTGGTTCTTCTGATAGGAACGCGATCTAATGCGAAGTTGATAGACTGGTTAACTGACAAACACAATACTTCAACAATTATCACCAATGCGTTGGAACACAGAGGGAAGATAGATGCTTGGAGAAAGATAGACATTTAAGAAGGTTTAAAAATCCCCATAGAATATTCAAAAATGAAGAATATTTGAGAACATTTAAGGTCATAGGAAATTTAAAGAATATTATTTATAGATAGATACAACAACATAAAAATTGTCATAGTTCGAACAGACACCATAATACGAGGTCAACAAGCGGATATAATGATTGTCAAATGAGCTAAGGGATATGAATAAAATAAAACAAAAACAAAGCATATATCTGATAAGAATAAAACACATCTGTTTATTCGGGATCTATTTTAGATTGTCGTACACAACTTTCAACTAGTAACTTCCTATATTACAGGAGCCCAATCATATAGGTAGACAGGATCTTGCAGGAAAACAATCAATGACTACATGAGCAAGACTCGTAACTTTTCTAGCCTAAACTTACATCAAGAGTCGTCGTAAGATTTGATATTCATACTGAATGAATACATGTTCAGTTAACATAATCCCTAGTGCTACAGCTCCTCTTTCCGTTATCTATATTGGTGTTTATTTAGAGGACAAAATGTTGATTTTAAACAAAAGAGAAAACACTTAAGATAAATAATCAGATCTTTAAATTTTAAAAAAGGATCGTCAAGGAAACCAACCAGAGTGAGATAGTAAGCAATGAAGAAAGGACGAATTGAATTTCCTTACACAAAAATTACAATAGCTATACATTGGAGAAAAAGCAAAGAACAAATAATAATGTGTTTTTGCACATAAATCCACTTGGTAATAAGTAAATAAAAACGTAAACATAAACAGTTTTTGTAAGACTGCAAGGTCAGTTTACAGCATGAATAATCATAATAAAAGCTACTACCACCATTATTACTTCTACTGCTGCGTGATCACCACTCCCACCTACAACCATAGCACTGATTTTCAGTGTATACAGTTTACAACTAGATATTTTATATTTACATAACACTTATGTGCACACAAAATTGTTTATGAACGGTGATAGTCCGCCTTAGGGAAATCATTTTGAATGTAGGAAAGGAAAACAATATTATTATTTCATGCATATACAGATGGATTGTAATAGTTAATAATCATTTACATGTGTACAACAGTATTATTAACATGAAATATGAGATACTAGTAGAAAACAACTTATAACCCTAACCGTTTAACAAAATAAGCCTTTCATAACAGAAGAGAATTTCTTAAAATTTTAAAACTGTATATCCAAAACTTTGTACTTGATATTATGACTTCACTTAAACAAAGTGATGTTTGTTTGTTTACATTAAACGATGGTAATAAGTAGATGAATACCTTCCGTTTCACATCACAAACTGACCTAAAATATAGTGAAAATCAAGAGGGAATAGAATACTACCTCATTTTCACATGAGATTTCTAAGAAGTCATCATCCGAATCACGAAAACTATTTAGGCTGACAAGAGAATATTTGTTGCCACAATGACTAGGAATATTATATAATCAACAAAATGCTAGAATCCCACGTGGAAGAGTGATTTTTCGAACACACAGTAAGTGGTTTCAGTAACTTTGAAAGGTATCATTATTATATGAAAACATGTGTAACGATTGACGTTGCAGGTATTTGTACCGCATGATAGCGACAGTCAGATTAAGACTATTTCAGAATTTAGGTCAAGAAATGTTTCAGTATTAAGTTGACTATCGTCATGATAATAATGTAAAAGTTAATGCTGAAATATTTGCTAACTGAAATCGAGTCAGATGACGTAGAAAGAAATAACAGAAAAAAAAATTAACTACCATGTGAAAATATCGACATTCTTATCACTATTTTGCAAAATGCTTCACAGTAATGCTCATCATTTATAAAAATTTTTAATTATAGAGAGAACTCACTAACAAACGGAGAAGGTTACAGAAGAAGTATTAATTCATACAAGTAAAATTATTGTTGAATCGTAACGGAAAGTGATGGGAAACACTTGATAAATGATATCAAAGTCTTCCTAGTCACTTAACTTCAATCAGAAAAAATCAAACAAGATTCATCTTGACATTAAACTATTTATTTATGGATTCACGTTATGTTTCTTAGTTGACAAACTATAGAATAAGGGTATGACATACTTTACACGGGATCAAATACGGTGGTGCATATACAAAAGTGAATCGATTTATCACGGGTACTTCGACTTCGAATGTTCAAGAAATCAATACAGTGAAAGTGCTTTCTAATAAATGAATTATTAAGCAATCTCATGCGCATGTCATTTCATTCCGTTTTACTTGGACTAAGAGAATGCTAGGGAAAATATAAATAGTTGTGAATCTTTCAGCTAGACAATAAACGAGCGGAACATTCACTGAGTGAAGAAAATTTGAAACGAGTTGAATAGCCAAGGTATCTGATTGAATCAGTAAAGCACCGAGTTGAGAAAGAATTATACAGAAATCCATCTACTAAATACGCTTAGTCTTGAAGTTTTTTCTAACGAAATTCAGAATAATAAGTATTAGTTCTATGAAATAATTCGATAAGGCAAACAAATACACACAAGTAAAATCGGTTTCTGCCATTCATACACTCACACATACACTCAGTGATAAACCATTATAATGTATCAACTTACAGACAAAGGTAACTAAGTTAACCCACATTTTCCTCGTCTAGTAAATGAACGGGTACATCAATCTACACGCTATTTATTATTATTATTATTATTATTATTATTATTATTATTATTATTATTATTATTATTATTATTATTATTATTATTATTATTATTATTATTACTATTACTTCATATCATGATGATTCAACTGTTATTTTTGATGATTCAGATAAATTATTAAACAACCTGTTGGAATTACATACATCGCATCTCATTAATTAACAAATATTTTACGTTTGGTTTATTTATCATCAATGATGGTTTCATTATTCTCTTGTTTTAATTTGATGAAGATTAATTATCCACATACAAATGATTCATAATAATGATAATAAATTTTGATTGTCTGTAGATGAACTTCTAATGATGATTGACGGCGAATAATATTCACAGCATTTTTTGTTAGACATTCGATACATTTAGATAAGACGAATTCAGTCTTTTGAATGCTGATTGACTGACTAAGGATAGTTAACTTCGTGAGAGAATAAAATTTGAATTTGTAAGGAGACTTGTATTCTAAATGGAATCTATGAATTGCTGATTCAAAGCAATACCATGTAGTTAATTTAACAAACTTAACTGCTGAATACAGTTCGAACAGGATCTCATCAATGAGTACAATATATTCATGTTGTGTTTGTAAGGTGATCCCACAATACATTTTTGGATATCAGCTAAAGTTAGGTAGATTTAATTATCTAAGTGATGACCAGATTATTTAAGATAATCGTAGTTGGTAGACTGTTGTATGTGTATAACAATGAGCAGTATAGGTTGTACAATGGACAAGTCTTGCATAACTTCATCTCGGATTCAAATTAAAAGCACCCAAATAAAGAAAAATCCTATTATTGGGTATTTTTAAATCACCTAATCTATACGAAACTTGCAATATTTGACGAATGAGATTTATATCGATTTAAAGTAGTAACTACAGTACAGAATAAGCTGAATGACAGCATGTAAATGAATGCAACCAGTGCATCCGGATAGCCATTTGACATATGTTTAGATTTCTGAAAAATTCCAAATTAGAGCAAAACACCAGGCAAGTGCTCCTTAGTTGCGCTAAAGTGATTAGCTGGTGGCAATCAGTGACAAGAGATAAGTAATGGAGTAAAATACACATATATTATTAGGCAATTTATTGTAGAAAAACTATTGAAAGAACACCCCAGTAAAAGAGAAATAGCTCAAATAATCGCAAACTTCAAAAAAGATATACATTTACAGACAAATCAGACATAATTACCTGCATCACCGATAGCGAATTTGATTGGTTCACGTCGAGGTTGATCGTTAACCAAAGCCAGAAACCATATCCCTTCATCTAAATAATGCAAACGCCCAGTTTCACGTAATTCATCCTACGAAATTGGAGATAAAATGGAGAAAATTAGTTCAAAATATTTGATATCTAAGTTCATTCTAATCAGTCATATACATGGGACCCATAAACATTTTGTTCAAAAGAAATCTCATTTCTTAGTGCAATAAAGATACGAGGTAGACGCAAATAATAACGAAAATCTCGCGTAAATAGGAGTACCATGCGTGTGGAACCAATATGCTTCAACAGCGAAATATAAACAATGAATATATAGCATAAAAATGAAGAATCCCGAGATTGTATAAATTTCACCTAGCTCGATTTTCATAGCATTTATAAAGGGTAATGATTTTATCGTTTACTGAGCCTCTATAACCGTGAATTGATTAATTCATTTCAAGATAACTAGTGAAACACTATTATCGGAGACTATTTTCTTATTTATACTACTTTTTTTAATGAAAAAAAGGTTCGGAGTAGTATTTTAATTCATTATATAGGTAAGCTACATAATGGCCAAATAAGTGAATTCACAAAAAATTTTCACAGATGAAGCAATGTTTTACTCTTATTGTAGAATGAAATAACCAAGAAGTAATAGACAATTATATCTCAAGATTACTTCCTTACGCCTGTTACCCCTCGTACAGTAGCATAGGGTTTCTACCAGCATTCTCGATCCAACTCTTTCCTGGGAAATCCTTTCCAGTTTCTATTCATCTTTATCATGTCTGCTTCCAATTCTCGACGCAATGTGTTCTTCAGCATTCCTCGTTGCCATTTCCCTTCAGGAATCCAAGTTATAGCTTGCCTCGTGATGCAGTTTGATAATTTCTTTAATGTGTTCCCTATCCTCTTTCAGCGTCTTTTCCTAATTTCCTCTTCAGATGGAAGCTGGTTTGCCCTCTACGACAGTACGTTGTTGTTGATGGTGCCCTTGCTTTGCCAGTACTTCTATTTACGTCTGCATCGCATCCTCTCTGTTCATCGATGATGCTATTCAGGCACGTGGGAGTTTCCACCACTTCCAGAGCTTCTCCATCAAGTGTGATTGGGATATGTTCTTCGTGTTCTTTTTGAGCATCTTACTTTATCCCTTGTTGTATGTTGAAGCATACTGATCCTTCTAATCAAATGATATCACATAGACTGGATTATCGTAATAATGAAATAAGCGGTTGGCTTTCACAAATTCGTGGTGATGATCATAATATTAAATTAAGTATACATCGTGATACACATGGAAATCTTTTACGCCTTCAAACCCCAACAGGTAAAATGTTGTTCTTTTATTTTTACTTGTTGGTTGCATTGCATCATAACAGCATCTGAAACGTACATCTTGAAACTGGGTAAACAATACGAAATTGACAACATTTACTCATTCCGTGCTTTCTTCACGGTCGTAATTCAGTTAACATATTTCGTGGCATAACTGTATGAATTGCCTTTAACAAAACGTAAAAGATATGACAGTATAACACAAAGACAAACTACAACACTAGGTCAGTTAGATCATAATAGTTATAGCCATTATTTTCCGCACAAAATTTCGTTGTATCATATAGTTGTTTCATATTTCTTTCTGTTGTAGCTTTATCCGCTGTCCTTGCTGGGTCTTCCACATATTTCTGCTTGTCAGCTCTATTACTCTTTCTCACTTTCTTGTTTGCTTCTGTGTATCTAGCCAGTGCGTCGACTTCCTCTGTTCTTGTTTGACTGTCGTTAATTGTTGACTTCTTGTTCTTCCTTTCTTGAATCTTGTCCAGGGTTTCCATAGAGATCTGTTCCTTATGATGAAGCTTGTTGGGGCCGAACACCTCCTGACACGTAGAAGTCAGTGTTTCCTTGATCCCTTTCGATTTGTCCTCTATAGTAGTTTCCTCTTCTTTGGGTAGATCTTGTAAGACTTGAAAGCTGTAGTTGAGAGTTATCTTGAGTTCGTTGGGTTTGTCAGTATCTCGAAGAAAGGCTGTATTAAACCTTGGTACTGTTGTTTCCCCAGTTGTTCAGAGCTTCATTAGCCTCAGTTTTATCTTGGCCACAACCAGCTAGTGGTGATCTGAAGCTATGTCAGCTACTTTCCTTGTTCTCATACCATCCACTGAGTTTCCGAATTATTCTGTGTGGTGTGATCCGGTGAGACCCATGTAGCTTTGTGTGTGCGATTGCGTGGGAATATCGTGCAGCATATAACCACTTTTTGAATGCACATAAAGTTGCAAATCTCTCATCATTTTCGTTCCTCTTCCCTAGTGCATGTTGTCCAATAATATCTTCGTACCCGGTGTTGCCCATCCCGACTTTGGCGTTTAGGTCTCTCATCAGGATGGTCAGGTTTTTTCCTGAGCACTTCGGTATGATCGGTTGCAGCCTCCAGTGAAACTTGTCTTTATCATTGTCGTTGCAATTATTTGTGGGTGCATTACATTGTGCAACATACTTTGTGATTCCTTCCTTTGTGTTGAAGGGTGCTTTGATGATCCTGGATTCATGTGATTCCCGTCCTATAAGTGCTTTACATGCACCTTTGGAAAGCATCAGAGAAGCTCCCTGAGTATGCGGAACGTTTTCTTCTTCTTGACCAGAGTGCAGCAACATCTCTCTGGAATCCATTCTTTTCTCTCTAGCTTGGGTCCGATGATTTTCACTGATTCCGAGAAACATCAAGGTGTATTTTCTCATTTTCGTAGCTATTTGGTTGGTCATCCCAGTCTCCCATATTGTCCGAACATTCTATGTACCTATATTAATTGTTGCTCTGGTTGTTAGAAGGGACATCGGCCTCGTGACTTCCGAAGAATCTCAGCTTTCACTATGAGGCGTCATGATTCTTCCTTCAACTAGGAGGACAGGGTTTAAATGATTTAATTTGTATAGTCTGGTCAGCTTATTTTTTAGCAAGTTTGTTTTCTACGGGATGGGGTTGCTGACTCCACACCCAACTCTCCTCCTTTACCCGGGCTTGAGAGAGGTAGTAGCACTAGAATAGCTAGAGATTAACAATAGCGAGAAATTTATTTCATGAACTTTTTTCGGAATAAATTTATCTGAACAATTACATAATCACAATTAAACAAAGTGAAGAGTGAATTTTTTCATTGAGATAATGCTATAAATGAATTTGTAGTTAACATCTTGTTTATAACTAAATAAAATGGGACTGTAACTTAATTATTCTATGAAATATGTCAGTTAAGGTCAATGTGATCGAAAAAGGAACACTTTTCTTTCAAGTAACTACTGTATCACGGAAAGATCAAATGAACTTTTTTTCGAATATCGAAATAAGTTTATGTTGGGGAAAATGGTTGACTGACGTTTATTCTTTATATAAAAAAACCTACTAGCCGTAAGCTTAGGGAGTCAAACGTGTATGATTCCACGACATAAACTATTCGCTATGTTATGGTATTCACTTTACCATTTTTTACGATCTATTCCCCTTTTATGGATTTGTATTGGTGAAAGTGCATAGAAATTTGAACGTAAACAAATCAATGTCAGACTCTAGTCAGTCAACTGAATAACATTACATAAATGTCAACCGATTTCGTTTGAGAGTCGAAAGATTCAACAATACCTTTGGAAAATCTTACAGTTTAATTAGAGACAAAGCTAAACAACAAGAAAAGGAAAAAAATCAGTATCTGACTTAGCCTGAAAGTAGACAACGTTTATTGTTTGCAAATACCTCAAATGATTGCAAACAATCAAGTTTATTCTAAATTAAGGTACAAAGAAACAGCATAATATCGACAGTTATATATGATCTACTTTTTATTTTGTTTATAAAAACACATTGGTTGTTATGGAGCCTAGTTTTTTAAAAAAAGACAGTGATAAACTCTATTCAGTCATAATTTATTTATTCGTTTTTACAACTATATAGTGTGTTAAAAAGCATATAACAGCAATTTTTGCCGATGAGTTAATAAACGTGCAAAATTTGAAAAATGTAAAAAGAAGATTAAAAACGTGTAACTGGTGTAGCCATTAGAGGAAAATGGAACAGAAGAAATACATTCAAGGCATTACCACATGAAATGAAGATGTAAAAATAAGTCACCACCAAAATTAATTTTCTTTTCAATAGTGAATTATTAGCATGTCGCTTAAGTCAATCAGTCAGTCAGCTACAACGTAGGACCAGGCACATTATACATCGGTCCAGGTTGCCATACCGCATTAGCACAGCAAGATGAACACCGGACTCATAGGAGTGGTTAAGTCAATGGTGGTAGTATATAAAAGAAAAATTGCAATAAGGATATAGTACAGGAAGAAAGATTTCGTACTCAGAAAGAAAAATATGAAGCGATTTTAATCTCTTAGTTAAAAGGATGAAAGAGAGTGTATACACTGACGCCATTGTGATCGATTCTGAGCCATGTCACCAAGAGTCTCCAACCATTGGTTACGATAGTCACGCGGACCCCAACCAAGTAGTCTGCATCTACCAACATGGCTCAGATTAGAAGTTAGTGACTTCAAGCACTGATGCCACGTTTTGGTTTGGCCGCCCCTAACATTCTTCCAACCATCTCCAATACCGGTTAGCGTTGCACGACATGGTAATCGGTGTTCAGGCATACGTAACACGTGGCCCAACCATCTCAGTCGATGAAGATTCACAACCTCATCAACTGATTTACCATCGTTCCCTAATACCCTGCATCTAACCTCACTATTACTTACTCGGTGATCCCAGCAGACGTCAGTAATATTTCTAAGGCATTTGTGGTCAAATACTAGTAGCTTACGAGTGTTTTCTAATCTCAATGGCCATGTTTCGCTGCCGTAAATTAAAACAGAACGGACTGCCACGCAGTATACTCGTCCCTCAATTGATAGACGGATATCTCGCCTTCGCCATAGGTGAAGTAAGTTGGCAAAAGCCAAACGAGCTTTTCGAATCCGTGCTGAGATTTCGTCAGACACCAACCCATTAGGGCTGATCAAACTTCCAAGATAAGTGAAGTTGTCAATGGGTTCGACTACTTCACTCCCTATCCTTAGTTCAGGTGTTGACGCAGGCCAGTCCTGAAGCAACAACTTCCATTTAGAGGGAGAGAAGCGCATTCCAAACATTCTGGCATTGTTGCTCAGTGCTACCAAAGCACTCTGCATTCTATCGGCGTCTTCACCAAACAGGACTATGTCATCTGCGTATTCTAAGTCGATAAGTGGACCTCCTGGATGGAGATCAATACCCGAGAACTCAGTTGACGAGAATGTTATTTCCATCAGTAGATCTATGATGAAGTTAAACAAACATGGGGAAAGTGGACAGCCTTGACGGACACCACTTGAGGTTGCAAAAGTAGATGACAGTTCGCCATAAGCTCTGACTCGACTAGTAGTGTTCGAGTAAAGAGCCTTCACAAGGTTTATGTACTTCTGAGGTACGCCTTTCAACGACAGACACTGCCACAGAATCTCGCGGTCTACAGAGTCAAATGCTGCTTTTAAGTCGAGAAAGACCACCATTGTCGTACGCCGATAAGTATGCCTATGTTCTAGAACCTGATGAATGATGAATATGTGGTCGATGCAGCCACGACCAGGTCTGAAGCCAGCTTGGTTCTCTCGTGTTTGCAGTTCACGAGTCTTAGTTATGCGTCTGATAATTATCGAGGCTAGCATTTTAGATATTATATTAGTTAAACTAATCCCTCTGTGGTTGTCACAGGATGATTTTGACCCTTTCTTATATATTGGGACGATAAGTGATTGCGAAAAGTCAGATGGAATAACGTCTAACTCCCAGATCTTAGCTAAAATATTAGTCAACCTAATCGTTAAACTTGGACCACCATCCTTAAAGACCTCTGGAGCCAATCCATCTGGACCAGCTGCCCTTCTTCGTTTCAGATTCACTATAGCCATTTGAACTTCTGCTAGAGTTGGGGGACCTACTTTAATGATCCATTCACACTGTCTGGGAATGTAGGGTAGTTGTAGAGTAGCTGAAGGCCAGCTGAGCTGTTCTCCGAAATGTTCCGCCCATCGTTCTAAACGTCTGGACTGGGAGCAGATGAGAGTGTCGTCTTTTTACGAGATCGTCTCACCTACACTTCACTTATTAATTCTAGTTTCTTTTATTAGTCCGTAGAGCTGCCTTGTGTTCCCTATAGCCGCCGCCTTTTCCATCTCTTTTGCTTTCGTTGCCCACCACTGCTCACGGTCGTTTCTTAGACTTTTGGTTAACCTGGATCTGATTTCTACACGCTCTTCATCGTGTTCAGAGCCTGATGGGGTGAGTTTACGAGAATCCATCAGTGCAATAGGCCTAGAGGAAATCCATTGGTTTTTTGTAACCCAGTGGTTTAAATCATTGATAGATGTCACTTCTGTTTCCACAGCTGTTTGCATAGCTTTCCAAGCAACATCTGGGTCAACCTCGTTTTCAGAACTACCTAAGTGTGACCTCAGTTGTTCCTGGAACCTACTTTTGGTTTTCTCGCTACTCAATTCAGTTCTAATGGGTCTTTTTACTGTGGCTTTTTTGTGTCCAGTGAGGCGCAAGAAGATGCGTGCCCGTATTAGCGCGTGGTCGGAGTCCAAGCAGATACTCCAGAATGAGCGACAATCTTCTACCGACCCCCTCCAGTCAGTCAGTAAGTCAGTCAGCTACAACGTAGGACCAGGCACATATGTGCATCGGTTCAGGTTGCCATACCGCATCAGCACAACAAGATGAACACCGGATTCATAGCAGTGGTTAGGTCAAAGGTGACTGATGGCAATATGGTCTATTTGAGTCCATCGTTGGTTTGGTGCAGGCGGTCACCATGTTAGACGATGTCTCTCCTTATGCTTAAAATTAGTGTTTGCTAAAAATAAACGACTGTTTGAGCATATTTGCAGCAGACGATCACCATTATCTGTTCGTTGTGCAGGAATACTAAAATACCCACCTAAATGCCTTTCTGTTTGGTTTAAACTACCTATCTGGGTATTACAGTAACCTACTACGAGTAATATGTCTGGACGTTTAGCTTTCTGAAGTAGTTCAGAGAGCTTTCTGTAAAATTCATCTTTCACTTCATCTGAGCTGCAGTTGGTGGGAGTGTAGGCAGAAACGACAAAAAGGCAACGACGTGTGTCCCTATCTTTCCGAGCTCTCACGGAGCCGTTTAGCCGAACAGCACATAAACGACTGTTAGCGGGGATCCACTCTAACATTGCTTGTTCCGCCCTCATGCTTAGTGATATGCCTACACCTGCCAGTCCACGAGAACTAGCCATCGGGTGGCCAGATAAATGGAAGGTGTATCTCGTTGGCTCTCCGTGTTGCCGAGGTGAGGTCAAGTGAATGACCACACTAGGATCCTAAATGCGTGTTTCAGAGATACAGTATAAATCAATGGTACGAGATTCTAGGGTTTTAGCCAAGGAAGCCTGCTAGCCGATTTGACATAGGGTACACACGTTGAAGGCTCTAATGTGTAGTGTGGAGCGAGGTTTCAGTAGACCTAAGACAGTGTTTTGAGCACTAGAATCGTTGGCTATGGTGACACTTGAGGAGGAAGCCGAAAGAGGAAATTTAGAGTTGAAAGTCGATGTAGGAGGAAAAATAGTAATTGAAGATGGAGGTTGATTATGAATACAGTGGACCTGAGTGCTGTTAGAGATATAACGGCAGTTATCACTTCCCGGTTGCCCACACCATGGAAGGTTTCTTCTGGAGATACCTGAAAACGAAATTGGATTAGAGGTGGTGTTAAGGACCTAGGAGCGTGACCGCAGTGCCCAAGGGACAACTGCTTCAGGTCGGTCACACACGACCTTTGTATAGGTAATTTTTGTGTTAGCGCCGTACTTGTTGAGACCTTACCGCCGGAGACGGATATCCGTGGGATAAGGCGAGGTGTGCATTTTCAGGGTCGACCTTTTCTAACCCCGCCCCTCCTTGTGGGAAGGCAGCATCGCTGTCATGCTGGTTGTCTGAAGGAAACACCTTACTGCTGTCACACCTCTGTACAGTCAGCAGTACGACTTCGCCTTCGGACCTTGGGTTTGGTGCTTTTAGTCTTACCGCTCTTCAACCGACCTGTCTGACATGGTAGGACCTTGAGGAACGGTTGTTCCAGCTAGTATAGCTCGGTTGCTTCATCACGATAGGCAAGCCCGACCACCACGTCAAGGTAGCAACAACGGTCGGGGCATGTCGCTTAAGGGTACAACTGGATAGAAATTTCGAGTCAATTGCAGAATTAATCTTAAAAACTAATGCACAATAACTTAAAGAATAAAATATGACGTTTCATAATATCATAAAACTAAAGATAGTCATATAAAATATTTAATGCACGTACAAAAAGTGATCAATCATCGATGTCACTTGCAGGACCTTTGTAAACTAAAGAACAATAAACAGGCATCTGACCATAGTTAGAATCTAATCAAATGTGTGAACCTGAGACTTCCAGGGCAGGCAGCAACCATACTGCCATTGAAAGCCACTGAACTGGCTTACATTTTTAAATTCAGTCAATTCGTGACCCCCCCCCACATCATGTTTGACCCACGAGTTGCAATCTCACTAAACCATCTGTTTGAATGACTTCATAGATCACGGTCGAAACTTTAAGAAGCCAATTCTCAAACTATTCACTATTGACTACATGGTTCCTATTTACTGAATTTATTGCGTGGATATAGATTTGACGTTAGTTTATGATGAAAATCATATTCGAATTGTATGCCATTTCCACAAAACCAATTCGGTAAATAAAATTGGTTTATTAAAGTCGATGCCAACTTATTAGGGTTGCACAAAGATGGAGAGTTTCAATCAGGAAGAATTTTCACAGAATTGATAGTTAGTCACAACTTTAAGTGAATTTAAAAATATGCAAAGGGGAACTTTGTGGGTTTTGTACAACGATAAGTTTCTTAAAATTTAATGAAAAATGGGACTTGCTCAACTAATCAGGTGAACATGTGAAGTATTTGTTTTTATGATCAAAGATCCTCAAAAAATCAGTCACCCAAATTCAAAGTATTTTTAAAGCATACTCATTATTCTTCGTTCAATCCTTGATTAACATGAGAATAGTGGAACAGTACAACAAAAGCATAAACAGCTTTCAGATTGCCAATTATTCTGCGAATATCCAACTAATGTTTGTTCATTCACATAAAAGTTCCCAAAGCTATTTTTTGATAACAAAAAGAAAATCACCTCAATGTCTAGAAAACGTGTAATAATAAAAAAGAACGGCTAAACTCACTTTAGGACCTATATGAATTAAAGACTTTGAATTTCTATTAGTTGATTGAGTGGAACGCTTTGTACGACTGCCTAATTCTTGTCGACCAGAATTTGCTAATAAATTATGTCCAGTTATCCTATCGAATATATCATAATGTATAATGGTTGGCATTGTGTTGTGACGCATAAATACACCAATTGATGAGGCTAACGAAGATACTGTAATATTATAGCGTATATAACGCGCTGTGGGCATATGCCATTGACCTGACCATGATTTCATTGGCTCTAGAACAATATTTACAGGCTTATTTGCTTCTAAGATATATGGAGGTGAGTTAGGATCAAAAAGACCTGCAAAGGATGAAGAAAGGCAAGAAAAACAAAAATAACAGATGAATAACGTGATTTACAAACAAACAAATATCATTAAATACGAGAACAACAAAACCCTTATAATACGGCGTTAACTCACATATTGACGACAAACAATTAGCCAACTAATTTATCAAATTTTATTCTCTTGGAGCAAAATAAATCATTTATAAAATTCTATATAAAATAGCTGATATAAAGAACCCATAAGAGAAAAAAATAAACAAAGCAACAAGCCGAGCTTTGTTTTAGGATTAATGGTAGTATTATGTTGACGTAGTTTTGTCGAGTGGAACACTGTTCTAATCTAGTGGCTAGTTGGCTGAAAGTTAAGTACTTGAACTAATAAGCCATAGCTTTATACACCAAACATCCAGTAATATATACTGTATACAAGAAAATACTTATGCGTATTGCATCGAGTTTCTGTGACTTAAAAGTTGACTTTTCAGAATGCCATTTTTATAAAGGAATAAATAAAACTTATACCACGCATCAAGATATTGGAACGAATATTTGATAGGTTGTTTATTTCAAGATTATTGTAATGCATCTATATGCACCTCTGACAGTATGTTCAGAAAAATAGCTACTGGTTTTTCAAGCTGATAATAAATATATAATCGTCCTTATATCGCTATCAACGCTCTAACGTTGTGCAGAGGAATGCCGGCATTTTATTCGTTTGTTATTAATTCTCCTTTATTGATCTACAGTCGATCTAATGCTGAAATCGTCATAATTAGCCAAGCAACTTGGCGTTATGTTTCACAGTAACTGGAGACTGACAAACGCACAAACCTTCATTTAGAATCTTTTGCTGTTTGTCTCAAAATATCTAACATTGGACAAGTTTAAAGCAGTTTAATTTTTCGAATAATTTAAATATAACTAGTAAGTTCCGATGATAAACACGAGTATCATTCACTAGATACAACTTGTGAACTAAATAGACTGCTAAACAGATTGAACAATAATACAGGATAACAGTGAACAGGGTTTTACACAAGATATACAACTATCAGTGGTTCGAAAAAAGCTATATATATATATATATATATATATATATATATATATATATTCGTTTGCAATAAATGAATACGATGGCGTTTATATTGTAAGTGTAGAAGAAGAGCGTATCATCACAATTCTAGCAAGAAAAGGTGCTAAAAAGCCTTTAAGAAAATAACTGTAGGAAAGTGAAAAGAAAGAGGAGAATTGAGAAAAACATTCGGAATAAAAAAGGAGTGGATTTTCATAAATCTCAAAAAGAATTTTCCCTACAATTAAGCAATGGACATTACCATTATTACGGTAATTAGACAATAAATACAACTATGATAGATGCCAAATATTTAAAAATGAAACAACTTACACCTTTAATGTCAACTATATCTTGCTCTAAAAAAGCAATATATGTTAATAATCCCATACAATCTGCTTTACAATCAGTAACTTGGTTCAATGGAATAAGAATACCACCGATGAATTTTCACCTAGTGATCGAACTGAATCCGACCACATAAACGATAAGTTTTTCACAAGGTTCCTAACTTTATAGTACATATGCAGTTAATCAAAGAATTGAATGTTAAGGCACATCTGTGACCTTAAAGAAATATTGCTTCAGAACTCTGAATTTGTATTTTGCAACAACTAGATTTACCAGAGATAAACTTGGATGTTAGTCGATGTTCGGGAAAACTGAATTGATTACACTCATGGAATAAAAGCAGTTTTCATTCAATCTAGTGCTCATCAAATTCCATAAAACGCATCTATGAAATAAAATGATCCGCAGACGGTCAGTAGCAATCCTTAAAAATGAACTTCTTCAACAAACATCTGTTATCACTCAATAAAACAATACTGGTTTCTTTCAGTCAACTGCTTAGTAGATCCAAAAACAATTCAACATTCTGCTTGGAAAAAATTCCATTATATATGTTTATTGTTTAACTATACTAACATTTGTGATGTGGATGTGTGTACCTCAAAAACGCAGATTTATAGGCTGTATCACACAATTATCATAACTCCTCTGAACAACTTGAAATAGAATAGTACCAATAAATGTGATCTAAATAACCGAAGATTGTTAATTTTTACTGCCAATAGAACAATACGGTCAATATTTCTCGTGTAGACTATCGATGGAGAGCGTACGTAATAAATATTATAAAGTTTACATTTATTACAGGTAAAAATTAATTAGTAAGAAAATTTGCACGTTTGTAATGCAGTACGAAATACCTGCACAAAAAATTAAATCATTTGCATGATGAAGCTACTGAATCGGATAACATTGAATGCTGAATCCCTCTTTTCATATCACAGTGTAACAAAAACACCAAAGGTCAATCGTAAGAGAAGCCTATATTACCGAATGCGGAACTGAATTATGCTTAACACTTCAATGGCTCATTTTTTGACGAGCAAAATTACTTAACTTTTATATTCGAATTCCTAGGTACGATATTAGTTAGCTGATTAATGTGATATATTTATATAGGAGAGATTGAGGTACGATATTTGTGTGAAGCATAGTAATGCCTGCTTCCCCAAAGTGAAGGGTTCGAACTCGGCATATTCACTAAAATCCGAATGCTTTAGCAACGAAGTCGTCACATAACAAAATTATTCACCTCCTATCAATTTATCCGTATGTAAAATCCAACTGAAAGTGATGACGCCACAACTCGAATAGTTTGAAGGGAACCGAATGGGGATTCGAATTTCTACAAAACGTCAGTTTTATTAATGTTGCTGACGTGTTTCCTTTAATCCCCATATCAAGTAAAAACAAACTACACTGTGAACTCGAGTCCGTACAGTGGATCAATCAATAAATTACGATGAGCATCCGGAACATGATTTTGAAGCTGATTAACATTCTATAAACACTGTAATATCAACCATTTATAAACATTAAAACAAAGTACTTTAAAATTCATAACTTGACAGCTCTCATCTAATTCTGAAGTAAATTTATAAACTACGAAGCACAATATTTAACACATTTATTTTTGTAAAACTAATAGTAAGCTTTATCTAAAAGGGAATGAAACTCCATTCATGAATGACTCATTAAATTTACACTGTTTTTCCTTCAGCCATTTCAATATCCATGCGAAAACATGACAAATTAATGAGTAAGAAGTTAGTATGACACATGTACTGAAAGTAAGTTGTAATAATAACAACAATACCATAGATACACAACACACATGTCAAAAAGTTAGATTATCGACTAAAAGAGAAAGGGAGAGATAAGAATAAAACTGGAAAAATAAACAGCATCTTCATCAGTCTACATAAAGTCAATTTAACAGTTTTTACAGTATTAAACTTGATAAAAGCGTGATTCCTATATTATTACATTGAACCTGACGCAATTGATTAGTGTACACTGGCAATACAATGTCATGAATGGATATTAAATTTATTAGACGGGGATTACGGAAGTATGGTAAGAAATTGCCGTTGATGGAACTATATAACCATAATGAGTTACTCTATAGATGACTTCAAAGTTAATCAGTAGGTATATAAACAAGTACAGATAGATAAGTTTAGAGTAAATATCGATGAACAACAACATGCCTCACCAGCACTGATTCAGATAACAAGTAAAAATGGAAATCTCGTTGTTGATGATTGAAGAAATGAATTCGTCAGTACTTTTTAGTATTTGAGCTCATTGAATGGACAAGTCGAACATTTATAAATGTAATGAGATTTAATAACAAGTGATATCCATCAAACATGATGTGACTACTGTATATCGGTAGTTCCATGAATAATCCTATGGTGTTTGAGGATACAGATATTGCAAGCAGGTTTCAACGAGAATATGTATTGAAAGGCAAGCCCATTAAAATGCTGAGTACTGAAAAGGATGGAATGAACATCCTTGATAAAATTGCTAACTCTTATCAACCGTAAACAACAAGAATGCTAGAGAAATAAAGTTGAGATCGATCTGTGATCATGAGGCACATGGAAATAGAGGAGAATAAGTTATTAAAACAGTTAATCGGATATGCATTGTTGTGAATACTGTCACACAATCACAATAACGGTCGTACTCAACTGGTTTGCTTAGTTGATGAAAAAATGTCTAAGCACATTACTTTTCAAAATTAATATTGAGAGTCAAATTTAGGCTATCAATTAAACTATCTTAAGTGAATGGCTTAAAACTCTGTAAGTTCCTGTCTAAACAAGTAATGTTCTCCATCATAAAACACTACTATATAATGACTAAAAACTGCCAAATAATTCGATACAGTCTAAAATATTAACAATATCGTTTCAAAACTCATTACCTATAATCGCAGGATCTTGAGCGAATCGTTCTTGTAACCGATGGTCTAAACGTTTCTTCTCCTCTGGAAAAATGTTATTTTTGAAGAAAAAAAGATTAAATAAATACTTATTTGCGAATTTTACAGCTTAAGAATAGAAGAACAAAGTTATTAAAGTTTCTCAGTAATGGAAATCACAAATTCGGAATTGTCAGGTGAGCTGAAGAATGAATAAATTAGATCCTCAACATTTGAGATAAGTTCTTCAAAATTTTTCAGAAATACTATTATACTAATATTTAATTTTTTCAGTTGTCTTGAAATAGTTGGCTCAAATGACTAGTTAGTATATAAATTGCGACGCTTTTGAAATAGAATTTCATACTACCGGTAAATTTTGCCATTTCCCCTTTGTAACCAAATATATTGTATCTCAACGTCATGGTTCAGGTGTTACTGTTAAGTTATCCAAGTCACAATTGACCTCCATTAAGAATGATTCAATTAAGAGAAAACAATCCAGTATTTCATATTGACATCTGTCAATATGAAATATGCCTAGGATGCTGGCTAACAGATTCTTTAGAATACAAAACAAAATACTTGTTGACCTGACAAACAGGTTAACATTATACACAAGGTCATAGTAACATATGGAATAGTAAGGTCAACCAGCACAAAGGAATAGATTGGTGAAAAATAAAAATAATGAGTCATCTACATTATCGGGGGTTTAGTCAATGGAGTCGTTGAATTCAGAAATCTCTTTTAATAGATTAACAAAGATTTTCAACTATGTTCTAAATTGTTAATACAAAAGACTAAGAGAATTAATTCTCGAGGGAAATATTTTATATTTCTTAATCTAAGTTGAATCAAAGTTATCATTTAAAGCGTAGAATCCACGACTGGAATAAAGTGACCAAATATAACATAGTCACACCGAATGATCACTCAGTAGTAACAAATATCATGTTTATCCAGTTCTTAGTGCAACTTTGACTCAACCGACCATTGCAATATCACTACTAATTAACAAGCATATGCCTATTTGTTAATCAATCGATGTGAGAAATCTCAATTGCATAAGTGGGGGGTCCCCACAAGGTTGAGGATACATCTTGCTCGTGAGTGGCAAATGGGATGAGACTTTGGTTTAAGTTCAACCTTCGATCGCCACCAACCCAATTAAGAAATAGAACCGACTATTCAGTATCACAGGTATTTCTTAGGAAAATGATGTTAGGACTACAAATAGTGCTTGGATTTAAATTGTCGACAATATGGTGTACTGACGGCAAACAAACAAAGATATTAAAAATAACCAAACATAAACTACTAGTACTTGGTTTTTAGACTGAGACTATTTAAACATTACGTGGTTGCACTGCTAAGTTGACATTAATTTCATCAGATCTGCACCCGTATTGATGCAAATCAAATTACTGAACTGTTGATATATAAGGATCAAAAATTACACAGTTCAAGGAGCTGGATCAAAAAGAGGTGTATCACAAAGAATAAAAACGACTGTCCTGTGTTTCAAAATTGCAATTTGGTTAATTGAATGTGAATATCGCCGTTGTATTTAAAAATCCGTGTTATCTAGTCCCACGTCCTGAAGTTTGTTGATTAACTTTGCCGTTTTTTCAAAGTCGAAATTCATGCCGAAATTCAAAATGAGAAGTACAAAGCTGGTATTAGTTTAAAGAATATCACTATTCACAACACATATTAAGACCGCAGAATCATAAATTTATAGGGAAAGATGAATAGTCTTCTATCACTCATATATTTTAATACTTAGACAATACGAACAAGAGAGACATGTTTCGTCTTATAATTACGAGAAATAGTTTATTAAAAAGTTGCCAAAAAATCAAATCCAGTTCACAATTACTTACTGAAACTCAGTAGTTAAACTATACTTCTAAATGCCATTTCAGAACTGGTCTGCATCAACACCTAAACTAATGATAGGGAGTGAAATAGATCAGTACGTTAACCGTTTCACTTATCTGGGAAATCTCATCACGCAATAATATAGCTTAATTGGCTTTTGTTAACTCGTGTTACTTGTGGAGTAGATGAAATATCTGTCTTTCAACCAAAGGGCCTGTATGTTTTACAGTAGTGTGATGACGTTATAGAGGTGAAAAATGATCCATGAAAGTAGAAGATACGTTAGCTGTAGGTTTTTGATTGAGAATTTTCATGTAGGTTGTTACATAGATTGTCACTAAAATCAGTCATTAACACGTATATATATATATATATATATATATCATACACTAAAAAGTTTCAGTAGAATGACTGCCTGTATTACATATATCATGCTTACCTGAAAAGGATACAGCCAGTACAAGTGCGAGAAGGAAGGCTAATATCAATATACTAATAATCCAGTAATACCATGGACAATGGCGTTTAGATTTTCTTTCAACAACAACCACTGAATCTGAATGAGACTTTGATTTGGCACGTAAAGCATCATTTGTAGTGGAATAAGTTGGTTCAATACTTCTAGTAGAGTCAATTAGCCCGGGATTATTTGAACGACCCTGTTGTTGCTGTGATTGTTGTACGGAAGATATAAACGTTTGGACTAGTGGAGGAGCTGTGTTATTATCATGCCCAATCGTACCATTCATGATTGATACATTTTGTGAATTCCCTATATAAATTGCATCATTCGGATTTGATCCATTAGTAGAAATAAATGATTGTAAACCGGGTTGACATAGAGATGAGTCAGGCAGAACACTGTTTGTCAAAAGTCTAAGAAGACAAAAGTAGAGGAATCGTAAAGTATTTTTACAGAGAAGAAAACCATATAAAAAAAATGTGGGGAATATTGTTTTGGACAAAAAATATGTATATTTTAAGGAGCTATAATTGTCAGAATGATGTGAAAGGCCATGGGAAAATAAAACATATTTCCAGTTATTATAAACAATATGAACTAGTCGTAATCTAAAATAACTACCAAAACTAGCGAAAACACTATGAAATTTCTAAATAGTCATCTTTCAACTGAAGATTTCCTGTCTAGGTTATATGATGACAAAAATGAGATGCAGGATTAAGTAAGTTTTAAGGTCCCTATGACACAGTAATGATAATAATAAAAGTAGTGATTATGGGCATAATGGAAACTCAACAAAAAAACATATACCAAAACTTTTATACAATAATGATAGTAATTATTATAAGTCAAAGAACATTGTGTCTCCCGGCGGGATAGAAAGTATGACATGAAATTTTGAAAAGCCACAATGACATAATTGTTATATACAATAACCATGTATGACTTATTGACCGTATTCTGAATTCAAGCAGGGCATGGTTTAATTATACTATGATCAAGGTGGACACATCCCACATTAACACAGTCAAAGGAGATTAGAGCGAAAAAGAGTACACCAACAAGAAAACAATACTGAGAGAAAAACGAAAGATAGAAGGAAAAGGAAATAAAGGGGATTAAATAATCATAGATAAGATTTTGTGTTTATTGAAATTTTATCATATCAAACAATACTGGAAATTATTTTATTTTAAAAAAGGATAAATGTAGTTCTGATGAAAGTCACAGTCCGTAATAATACAGAAATGACATCTTTTCATATATTTCTATGCGAAAAGATTCAGAGTACATGAGATACTTGAGTTTATTAGTATAGTTAAATTTTGGTCAACTTTATTTAAAGAAATTTTACAAAAGGATATAGAGATACGTAAGAAATTTGACGAACCTTTTACAAATGAGATGACAATTTTGAGTTTTTTGACCTTTATTAAATGTTTTCCCTTTCTTTGTTTAACTCCGTCATCGTATCGATATGAATGTTATATCATATTTTATATGCCAGTTACACTTTCAATGTTAAATATTTCGTAGTCACATTCCTCTGAACTTTCTCTCAAACTTATTTCATTGTCAAAAATGACGCTCAAGCAAATTAAAAAGTTATTCCCACTAGGTAAATTCGTAAGGCTATAGTCTACACACATTCATAAACATGCCTCGGCGTCAGTGACATTGTGGTGTATGCTACTGAAGTTGGCAGATATAAGTAATATGTAGTAAGTGGAATGAATGCCAGCAGACGATTGAGAGGAGTGAATTGAAGAGGATAGAAAGGGAAAGAGAATTGGAATAACAACCAAATCTAAAGAATCATGAAGCGTGTAAAAGACAACTGATAGAAGATGTGCAAATAATGCATTTAATGTATGATTTTCATATTTTACGAAAGCACTGTGATTTGGCATTAAATGACAAATCGGACTTCTCCACCAAGTTCTTGATCACTACAATATGACTTAGGATACATTCAAAAACTTTGGGGCGTTAAAAAAATACAATAATAATAAATAACCTATGTTTATCAATATGGTCAGTGACATTAAATTTAACATAAGTGTTAGATCAATACACCATAGGAGTGTGTTATGCTAGAAGCATAAGTGAATAAGAAAAGTTATTAAGGAAGTGATTATTATTAATTTAGTTTTGTGGAGGGTGGTATTAATATTAGTGGCAGTGATAGATTACAAATTATGTATATTGGAACATAAAGAATATAATCAAGAATTACTTCCTGTCATTTAAAAAATTCTGTACATATTTCTTACTTATTTTCTTGATGACTTTCAATAATTAATTTAGTGAATAATTAATTAAATTTGACACTGGTAGTCAGTACATTTGCTCACAACTACGGAGCTTCAAGACAAAATATGAATATTTGCACATGAGAGTTTGCTGGACATAAAGTGAATATATATGAAAAATGATTAACACACAATTCTTAAAAGCATTAAACATTAATCAAGAATATGAAATAAAAAAACCATATTCGTATACATCTCAATAACTGAAGCCACATAACTAACATCAGATTATCTGGAGGTCTGTTACCAACTTTTTCAGGGAAATAATCAAAAATACGTAAAATCAAAAACAGTTACTGTTGTAACGGGTGTGACTGCAGGATTTGATACGCAGCGTTTACTCATCGACCGATTACAATGACAGTGACACGTAAACACGTAAGGACGACCTAGCGCCCTGATTGGCCCTGCTCCGCTGTCTGTCCTAGCCAGTTGAGTCAAGAACAAGTCACAGCCTCTGGGTTATGAATCATCATATTTCAAACATACTTTGTTTATATACTATTCAAGCAGATCACAACGTACCACAAAGTAGAAAATAACATTGTACAATATTGGCCAGCAGGAAAATAACACGTTAAATAAATATCGACCAATGGGAAATGTAGATTTAAGGTCCAAGGACACCATTGGACTTAACATGATAATTATTGGTCTATTTTTCCGACTACCTAACAGTTACATACTAAAATATTATCCAATCATGTTGGTGTGGTTTAGTATACGAATATATTTAAATGGTAGTACATGAAGCTGTGTAGATAGGGGTGTGTTATAATTAGTATTTCCTAGTAGTATAGATGTTAGAAATTAAATATACAGAGCTGATGACTTTCTTAAAGGGATATGAGGTTAGTAGATTAAGTTAAGTTTAGGTCAGCCAGTTAGCCTAGAATATTTCTACAGGATGAGGAGAAATGAAGATTGAATAATTTCAAAATCTCTATTGAAAAACAAAGTGAACTGTCATCATACGAAAAAGTGAGAAATTATAAAAATGCAAACTAAAAATATTGTGAGTGGTACACTTAGTTCAAAATTAATGAGTCAGGTTTTATATTTATTTGTTTAAACACATAAACATTGGTACAAGGAGGCACCAGATATGTATGCACCACACTTCGTCATTCGATTTTTGTGAGGGCTGGAATACTACCTGTCTGCACAAACCGAAGTAAGTGGTTTTCTTAGAGGGTCACTCCCCGAGCCTTTGACCTAGAGCTCTAAAGCAGTGGAGAGACGATGACAAAGTAGAAAACATAAAACTATACTCGCAAGATAAGACATTCTGAGAGTAGTTCTGGATATGCATAAATAACATCGAGACAACTGAATGTACGGGTGAACAAACACACATTGATTGAAAGTTGGAGCGTTAATCATGTGATGGAATCCAAATAACCTGGATAAGCAGGTGCAATTGGTTACACCTTGGAAATTTTGGATCAATAAAAATAAACAAAAGCATTTAAAACAATTAATAACGTCAGAAATACAATTTTCTATTCATTTATTATTATTAACATAACAGTTTAGTTTTCTATTAAGATTCGTGGAGACCTTCGAAAGATTTAAAAGCGGTTATTATCATTTGATAATTCCCGACTAAGTTAAAAATATATAATATAATAATGACTGACTTTTTTAATCAGTACATAATGTGGCAAGTCCGTTTTGTTTTTACCTATACTCAGTGTTGTGGCAACCAAAAAGACCATCATAAACCTGAATGTAACCTAAAACTTCAATGGTCACTGAAACACCACACACAAATAGACACAGCAACAAATCCCACCGTTTGAACGTATCTTTCATAAGATGAAATGCACTCGTAATATGAACTACAACAAACAATTGCTTTTTTGATTTTATTGGCTTTTATTCTTTAGGCGAAGCTCAGATACAAGATATAGACGACAATGAGGAATTTGTAATTTGATTACCGGCATACTTTAGAACAGTAACCCGTCGATTAATATATTCGGTTTGGTTAAATAGATTGGTATAACTAGTTGGAAATAAAATGACTAAAGTTCACAAACTGTTTACTTTCCGCTAGGTTTTACAACAAAGAGAACCGGACAAACTGAGAGTAATAATCGCTGTTCAAGTCGAAATATAGAATTCCCATCGACTACAATCAGAGAATGTTTATACATATCCTCTACGTAAATGCTTTGCCATCAATTGGAACGAATTAATTGTAACTCATGTAATGATTTCAAACTTTTATATTGACATTTGTCAACTATATCAATACAAACGTTCATTGTGTCCTTAGGTTGACCTAGTAAGTTTTTCGAGATATTCATAGTGTGTTTACTTCTACAACACCGTTTCTACATTATATTCATCCACTCTCTCTTGTTTGAACTGGTAACGCTACTGACCTGAGGAATTAAAATTTTGAAAACCGCATAATTTTATGATTGTTTGTTTATAAGGACAAAGACTTCAGTTTGCAACATTTATCAAGAAACTACTTAGATAAACTTAATGTAAGGTAACTTACTACATAAATCTGAAATATTTCTATCGAAAGATTCAAAAGTAGGTTGGAGGTTTAAAATTTTCATTCTTGTTAAACTCCATAATTACTGTTGCTACTTAGGTCTTAATGGAATGTGTGCATATTCTCTCGATCTCAAAGCAAGAAGTGAATGTTATGTAAAGATGAAAGTGAACACACTAGCACACTGAGATCCAAGTACACTCATTTAATTTGAATGAGATGAAGGGATCGCCATGGGACGTAATACCGTTTATCTTCAAATATTATGGTATAGATGCAATTAAGGGTACCTTAGAAACGTTAATATTTAGAAGCGACATACCAAAGAAATTTGAGGAATTTAGTATGGAAAATTGTGTCAAACATTTTTGAGCTTGTTCATTACATAAGCCCTAAGTAGTAAAGTGGTAAAAATAAGAATACTGATTAAGTAATCCAGTAACAGATAAGAACTCGATGATTGTAGTAGGAAGCAGTGGAGTTCGGAATGTAGGTTATAACATCCTTTTTCGGATGCGAAAGTTCTTGGTGGGTTTTCTTGGTAGAAAATCAGGGCTTTTGTGCATGATAACTAATTATTGGCAATGTT